ACTGCCGAGATACCCAGGTATGGGGGTTAATAAGGGGGAATAACAAAATCTCAAAAACCGAGATATCTTCACAACACCTGGAACTTCCCGACGCGCCGTCTCTACGTAGCTAAGTAGTCTGCCTCTGGCACCTCCCCCTTCGCCAACTCGCTGGTCTCTCCGCAAGGCCTCTCGACCGCGTCGAACTCGTTGGCGCGGGCTCCTCTCGGCTACAAGGGACCGGCTCCAGCTTCGGCTGATGGTTGACAAGTTGCCGAGCCCAAATCACTGTGAGAGTCGCGGTTTCTTCTTGTTTTGCACAACACTGCTCCCGTGGTGTACCTGTGTTAGTGCCAGTGCGCGCCAGTCCCGTGCCCAGTGTTGGCCTCCGGCGGGACGCCTCGCCGGCCGTGGATCCCCGGCGTGATGGGGGCCTCAGAGCGCTCAATGCGCAAACCGAGATGCGGTGAGCGAGCGCCCTAGCGTGAGCGCGCGCGGCGCGAAGCTCGAAGCCGCGGCGCTGGCGGCAGGGTCGGAGAGAGTTTGTTTGCAGGGTCGGTGGTAGTGGATAGCGTGTTGGGCGAACAAAGGGCGGAGTCGTGACGCTCCGCCGCTGCCACGTTCGGCCGGAGCCCGTAGCGCCCTGCACGGCGGGGCCTCGTGACCTACATCGATGTAAAAGCGCTGCATGAGTCCAACGTAGTTTTGTTTGGAGACCAGACCTTTCGATGTTTTGTTCGGACCTTTCGATGGTTCATGCTTTCTGTGTCTGTCTATCAATGCTTCATGACACAGCTGCAAATGCTACATGGGGGCGATACACGTCGGCTTTGCTGGTGCAGGCCCGACAGAGGAAGGGTGTGTGGGGGGGGGAGGCTCGAACCAGGGCGGAACATCCAGAGAGTAGGGTCGGAAGGGGAGTGGGTGAGGCGGAAGAGACGGGCTTTGGTGGTTGGGTAGAAGAAGCTCACGATAAAACGTGCGTACGTGATGGTCGTGAGCTCGGTCGAAGGTGGTGGGCCGAAAACGCGCGAGTAGGTACGGCCGGCCGCGCGGAGCCACGGCGAGCTCTGCGCAGAAATCGCACGCTTCGCACGCTTCGCACGCTTCGCACATTCGCGCGCGCAACAGCCAAGCTCCCAACCACCACCAGGGACCCCCATCACCCGTGTCCCAAACAAAGTGAGAATTTCGATCGATTGTAACGTAGTGCGGTGTGGCTCTCCCTCTCTCTTAGTTAGTCAGTCAGCCGGACGGACGCGAGGGAACGGACGGACGGACGGACCGTTCGCGGAAGGAGTCAGCAAAAAAGAAGGAATACAACTCTCTCTCACACACACAGCAGACAGGCTCGACACAGGTATGTATGTATGTAGAAAGATGAACAACAGTCGGGCTCGGACTGGATGGACACCAACGCGGAAACAAAAATGGTATTGCTAAAAATCTCTCTCTCCAACGCGGTATGGGTGGACGCGGGACAGATGATGCGGGCCAGCGCTCACACAGACTTGGAGCACTTGGAGTGCAGTTATCAACCTCACATCCAGGGCCGGGGAGCTCAGAAGCGCACCCAGCGGGCCGGATGATCGGGATCGGGTTACGGGCTAGAGAATCCTCGCCCAGACGGCAAAAAAACGCTGGAGGCTGCTTGTGGCCGTGAGACGGCATCGCCGGGGGGTGAGTTCGCCACGCTCGTCTATTAGCTGGAGGCTTCATTTCTGTGGGCTTGTCACTCCATACCTGACCTGTGGTGGCTCATATCATGCTGCAAGGTGACGATTTGATCTCACACCGCTTGTCCATCTTCTTTCGCGAAGACGAAACGCCGGCCTGGTATGACGGATACGTCGCAGCTCATGAGTCTGGGAAGGGCCTCCACAGAGTGAAGTTCGACGACGGCACCAGCGAGTGGTACGATCTTTCGCAGGAGGAGCAAGATGGCAACCTCCGTTGGCCGCAAAAGGCCTGGCCGTGTGGCGAGCCAGTGCCGCTCGGCCGCTCCGCGCGCCGCCGGTGTCGCGACTCGGTGTCGCCCGACTCAGTGGCGCCAGAGCCGGGGAAGAGGCGGGCGATCGAGGACGCGCCGCCAAGGTCCACGCCGGTCGCCGCTCGCCACGCCGCATCCTCGCTGACGACAGAGCCGCGGCGCCCAGCTGCGGCGGCGGCAAAGCCAGCGGCAAAGCAAGGCTCGGTCAAGGCGGTGGAGCCGCGCCCCGCAGCGGCGGCGACCGCAAAGCGAGGCTCGGTCAAGGCGGTGGAGCCGCGCCCCGCAGCGGCGGTGACCGCAAAGCGAGGCTCGACCAAGGCGGTGGAGCCGCGCCCCGCAGCGGCGGCGACGGCAAAGCGAGGCTCGGTCAAGGCGGTGGAGCCGCGCCCCGCAGCGGCGGCGACGGCAAAGCGAGGCTCGGTCAAGGCGATGGAGCCAGAGGAGTCAGAGAAGTCAGAGGAGGAGACAGGGGCGGAGGACCGCGCCGACAGCGACTATCACACGGAGGATGGGGAGGACGAGGACGACGACGAGGAGGAGGACGAGGACGAGGAGGCGGAGGACGAGGCGGAGAGCAGCAGCAGCGCGGGAGCAGCGCGGCCCAAGGCTAAGGCTGCACCGGGGAGCAGCAAGCGGGACCGCCGAAAGGCGGCTCGGGCAGCTGGAGAGGCCACGCCCGCGAAGCGTGGCCGCAAGAGCGGTGGCAAAGGCCGTGTCGCACCGTCACAGGGCTCGGGGCGCACCGTTGCCGCGCGAGGCCTTCCCCCGGGCTCGCTCGC